ACTGTGTCCATAAAATGTAGATAGTGGGAAGTAAAGGCCTAGGCGTTGTTGTTCACTAGTTTAAGTGGGGAAAGGGTGGCGGGGTTGGAAAGTAATAAAGTGGAATATATATATATATTTTTAAAGGATATGTATGTGTATGTATGTATGTATGTATGTATGTATGTATGTATGTATGTGGGTGGGTGGGTATGTGTGTGTGTATGTGTGTATATGTATATGTATATGTGTATATATGTGTGTATGTGTATATATATATATATATATATATATATATATATATATATATATATATATATATATATATAGTGGGGAGAACAAGTATTTGATACACTGCCGATTTTGCAGGTTTTCCTACTTACAAAGCATGTAGAGGTCTGTAATTTTTATCATAGGTACACTTCAACTGTGAGAGACGGAATCTAAAACAAAAATCCAGAAAATCACATTGTATGATTTTTAAGTAAATAATTTGCATTTTATTGCATGACATAAGTATTTGATCACCTACCAACCAGTAAGAATTCCGGCTCTCACAGACCTGTTAGTTTTTCTTTAAGAAGCCCTCCTGTTCTCCACTCATTACCTGTATTAACTGCACCTGTTTGAACTCGTTACCTGTATAAAAGACACCTGTCCACACACTCAATCAAACAGACTCCAACCTCTCCACAATGGCCAAGACCAGAGAGCTGTGTAAGGACATCAGGGATAAAATTGTAGACCTGCACAAGGCTGGGATGGGCTACAGGACAATAGGCAAGCAGCTTGGTGAGAATGCAACAACTGTTGGCGCATTATTAGAAAATGGAAGAAGTTCAAGATGACGGTCAATCAGCCTCGGTCTGGGGCTCCGTGCAAGATCTCACCTCGTGGGGCATCAATGATCATGAGGAAGGTGAGGGATCAGCCCAGAACTACACGGCAGGACCTGGTCAATGACCTGAAGAGAGTTGGGACCACAGTCTCAAAGAACACCCTTTTAGCTACCCCTAACCCTAACCTTAACCCTTTAACCTAACTCCTAAACTTAATCTTAATCTTAACCACTAACCCCTAGCCTAGCTGACATTAGCCAGCTAGCTAACGTTAGCCACCTAGCTACCTAGCTAGAATTTGTAACACATCATACATTTTGCAAATTTGTAACACATAGTGCGTTTTGCAAATTTGTAACATATTGTACGGTTTGCAAATGTGTAACATATTATACGAATGATACGAAATGGGTGATGAACATCCACAAATCAATACATACGAAAGGTAACATGTCATATTTAATGGAGTATCTCTGATTTACGTACAGAGTAATACGAAATGCTCTGACACCAGGTTGGACTGGCCTGCTACCGTGTCTTTTCTAGACATTATAAACTGTACAGACCCACAACTCATACAAATGGAATGAAACATTCAAATCACAGGGCTTTTGTGCCGTTATTAAAATGACATTTTCACTGCAGCCTAGGGTAGAATTTTGTACTAACTTGAAAACAATAATACAATAATTAATTGCATTGTGGTGTTGTTGGCTAGTGTAGGTAGGATAATTGTATTGTCCCTAAACAAGATCAATAGGGGAGCTTTTTGAGCTGCGTGATTCATGTCTTCACTGTTCTTTCTTTCGCAATGATGCGCCTGGCCGCTATTTGTTCTTGTGGATTCATATTGAAAATATATGCAGCTTTGAATGCTTTTATGTGTGGTATGATTGCTAGTTAGCCTATTACAGATCTGGACAAACAATCCACCTACCACCATTGTCAATATGAATGGTGGATAGAGGGCAGGATAGACAGTTAGACTGGTAGACTATATTGACCTGTGGTATAGTTAAGCAATAAGGCCTGAGGGGGTGTGGTATATGGCCAATACGCCACGGCTAAGGGCTGTTCTTAAGCACGACGCAATGCGGAGTGCCTGGATACTGCCCTTAGCCATGGTATATTGGCCATATACCACAAACCCCCGAGGTGCCTTATTACTATTATAAACTGGTTACCAAGGTAATTGGAGCAGTAAAAATAAATGTTTTGTCATACCCGTTTTTAATGAGCATGGCCTTATTTCTATTACAGCACATTGGATGACTATGATTAATATTCCATTCACCCGGCTAAATGTAACATCAATAGGTTTAGGCTGCTACATGATATTAAAATGTTCCCTATACCTATCATGAGGTTGCTACACCCTAGCCTACGAATGAAAGTTTACAACGTAGGTGCACACGTCAAGAGATTTTTTTTTGTAATCAAGTTGACAGACAGTGACACTTTCAATAACGCCTTGTACACTCTTGCCTGCAAAATGCTGATCTAGGGTGTAATCATTAGTCCAACAGTTGCAAACAAGAGTTTCTATTGGACAAATTCAGATATGTTTATCCCCGTTTCATTCCGTTTGCTTCCGTTTAAGATGTTTTTTCAACAGAATCAGCGGAATGAATACACCCCTGATCACACGCAAACACTGTTCACTTTCACAGCAGTTATATACAAACAGCATGATCATTTTGCTCATTGTAGAATTCCTTCTTGCATCTACGCACTCTCCTCCTCTCACCTTTTCTCTTCGTTTGTGGACTTCAGTGCACAACACATCAGCTGTCTGTGACCAAAACCTTTCCAAGCCAAACCTTCAGATCATAACCACTAACTGCTACACACAGCCTACATCGTTGTCACTGTATTAGTTAACGTCATAGCTAGTCAACATAGCTACTAGAACTAATGCGTTAGTAAACTCGCTACAATCATGCAGTACAGTGTACAGTCAGCAAGCAGTTTAGCAGTTACACCAGTGGGCCCCGGTGGCAATAAATTAATAAAATCAAAAGCTTACCTTGACTTGGAAGAGTTCCAGTGTTGGATAGCCATAGCCAGCTAGCTAACATAGCATCCCTTTCTGTTTGAGCCGGGTGTTTGAGTAGGCTAAACTAGCTAGCTGCATTCGCTAGCTAAGTGAATGTTTTTTTTATATACAATGAAATATAGCTAGCTCTCTCTATCTCTCGCTCTCTCTCTCTAATACTTATTCATTTTTAAAGAAATTAATTTGTTAAAAACTGTTCAACTATTGTCTTTCTCTATATTTGAGTCAACTACTCACCACATGTTATGCACTGCAGTGCTAGCATGTATGCACTGCAGTGCTAGCTATCTGTAACTTATACTTTCAGTACTAGATTCATTCTCTGATCCTTTGATTGGGTGGACAACATGTCAGTTAATGCTGCAAGAGCTCTGATAGGTTGGAGGACGTCCTCCGGAAGATGCCATAATTACTATGGAAGTCTATGGAATGGGGTGAGAACCATGAGCCTCAGAGGTTTTGTATTGAAGTCAATATACCCAGAGGAGCACAGAAAATAGCTGTTCTCTGGCTACACCATGGTGCTACCCTACAGAGTGCTGTTGAGGCTACTATAGACCTTCATTGCAAAACAGTGTGTTTTAATAAATTATTTGGTGACGTGAATATATTTAGTATAGTTTTATCTAAAAAGGATAACGTTTTTAATGTTTCACTATTTTAATTTCTAGGAAATTCACTGAGGAGGATGGTCCTTCCTCCTCTGAGGAGCCTCCACTGGTATACGGTCTGATATACCACGGGTGTCAGCTAATCAGCATTCAGGGCTCGAACCACCCAGTTTATAATAAAAGTTAGTGTGCGGAAAAGCGTAGTGCATAAGGGAAGTACCAAAACACCTTGATATAAGGGAGGCACATGCAAGCAGATTAGGACATTTGGCTAGGATGGAAGAAATTATATACTAAAACCTGCTAAAGAAAAAACGCTATGTTAAAAACTGTTCAACTATTGTCTTTCTCTATCTTTGAGTCAACTACTCACCACATGTTATGCACTGCAGTGCTAGGTATCTCTAACTTATACCCATGCCCAATAAAAAGCCACACAACCCACCCCAAAGCAAAAATATAAAGTTTGACAACCCTCCCCTATTTTTTACTTGGGACCGGATATCACAACTTTCTTTGTGTAATGTCTAGTAATGCAATCGTTGAGCAAGTGGTACCTTATACAGCAGTATGCAGCAGAGCGATGACGAGGTTGTGAATTTGAGCCTCACCTCGAGCACAGCTTTTTCTTTAACTCTCTGCCTGTCTATTTCTTGTCCAGAAACTGAGCCATTTTCACTCCATTCAGGAGGACGTTCCCTGAGCAATGGATACCGTAGGTCATTGTGATAACAGTTATGAGCCCAGGCACCACTGGGATTGGAACCCAAGGTCTCCTGTTTACAAGACAGGCGCTTTCACCAGCTAAGCACAGCAGCTGACACGTCTGCGATGCATGTTGGCAAACCTAACCTTTAGAGGAGGTGGATTGCAGTTTGGGCATCGCCCAATTTGGGGCTCGAACCTACGACCCTCAGATTAAGGGACTGAATATTTTACAACTCCAGTGCCTCCTTTCAGTGAGATATCCCTTTCCATACAAGAATCAAACAACATGTATTAATATGTTAAAGGCCCAGTGCAGTTAAAATACGTTTTTCCCTATGTTTTATATCATATTGTACAACAGCTGAAACTAACACTGTAAAAGTGTGAACATTTTAATTTGATCCGTGTTATTTCCTTGTAGTTGCTGGTTGGAATTACAATCTACACAGGACCGTTTAATCAGCAGGTTTGCATGGGCGAGAGTTTCGGCTTTCCATGGTGACATCACCATGCGGTAAATTGGTTAATAGACCAATAACAAAGAGAGTTCCAAACCTCCCTGCCAATAACAGCTAGTTTTCAGTTTTTCTCTCGCTACTCAGACCTCTCCCAGATAGCCCTAGCAACATTCTTGCTTGAGAAATAGTTTTTAGCTAAAAAGCTATTTTTGCACATTTTTCTAGAAATCTATTACAGGTACCGGATTTTTTTTACCCAGAAATGATTTGATATTGATATATAAATGGCTGCATTGGGCCTTTAAACTTCCACACTACTCTTCCATTTTCATAGATTGCAATGGACACCTTTGAGCCAACTTGGGTTTATTTTTCCAAACACATAGCCTACAGATAAATGAAAAAGTACATCACAATAGGTTTCTAGAAAATGTTAACAATTTGACCCATCAGGGTACTGTTGTATGCAAATGTATTTTCTAGCCACAGGCATGCTGCATCACTAAACAACAGCAACTTGTTGATGTGGTTCTGGCAATTGATTTAATGAACTGCTTTTTAAATAGTTTAATGACTATATCATGTTTTAACTGGAAAACTATTGAAGACCCACCTTATTAGAAGAATACACATTTGAGAAATTAAAAACACAAAATACAATTTTCAAAACCAGAATTCAGATGCAGTATTATTTCCACAAAAGCTCGTAATAAGACAAGTTCTTGAAAACACATACTGCAGGTCTGAAACATCATAATGTAACCAATTGAGTATCCAACAAAGATTAATTAATTACATCAAAGTATATACTGCATACCCTTTACGGTATGTACCCTTTAGGGTATGAATATTAAAATGAAACTTCTTTATCCAATATACCAGCATTTATAGTACTGACAAGGAACTAAATAAATTGTTTTTTTGTGCTTTTATCAGTTTGAATTTCATTCAACAGTACATAATACTTCGTTTATTTTTCACTTGCAATGCCCGATAAGTGGTTAATGTCTCAGGATCAGTGTCCTCCAAAGTTGTATCCAAATCCACCAGATGATGCTGAGCCCCAAAGTATTAGATCTACTGGGCTTGGACAACCACTGCCTGAGCCCAGCGATGCCAGAGTGGACGACCATATCAAGTCCAGGCAACATGACCATGTCCTTCATTATGGGAGGTTTCTTTATATCTAGAGTTGAGTCAGTCAATCAGTCGGTCTGCCAGCCATCAGGGGTCTCAGTCAGAGCCCCCCTGCACAGTCACTCTCTGACAACTACAGAAACGGTCTATACTCCTAGTGGTGGAGACTGAGGTGGATCCTGGGAAACGTCCTACAAGCTGTTTTTCTCAGTGGCGGTGGAGTCGGTGGCGCCGGTGCATTCTGCAGTCTCTGAGCTGCGAGGGAAGTAGACAGTAGTCTTGTGTTCTTCGTAGGTGTCAATGTGTTTGAGGTGCACCACCATGTGCAGAGCGTAGGCCAGGACCAGGAGGAGGATGAGTGAGGTGATCAGACCCATGAGGATAGCCGGAGTGAAGAACGTAGCGCAGTCGCTGGCTGAGGCAAACTTGTTGGACAGTACGTTGAACGATTGTATCTGTCGAGCAAAGAGAAATATAAAGGTGAGATGTTCAAGTAAAGTAAACAATGAAAGATTACATACATAACACATAAAGGTTATTACATTAAAACTATTCTTGTGGATTTCTATATCATGTAACTCTTAAAAATAAATAAACATGAATATTTCTGAATTCATACACAAACACAATAAAATACAATACATTAACAATGTAGTGTTATGGTATAACAACAGTGCCACCTAGCGGTATGACTAGAAACCGTCCTGTATTGTGGAGAGTTAAATAAAGCCACACACAAGTTGGAGTCCTGTTTACCGATCATTCATGATTATTTTACAGCCATTTTAACAAATCATGGTTTTAACAAACAACACAAGTTATCCATTACATTTCAACAGGAGTAGCTACAGAGGTTCCAACAGAACCATTAGAACAGGCTCATCTATCAAAACATCCCTCCACTCCTGCCATAAAATGTTGCCTTCCTGCAAAAACAATTCTTGCCAACCTGGAAGTCTGTGAAGGTGATGTGCCAGTTTGCAGAGTTGTCTGTGATTGAGCTTGGTACAAGCAGCGTGTCATACTTCTGCAGACTGCTGACGTGTTGACAGTGGTAGGAGTAGGTACTAGGAGCGTACACGTCGGTGGCATTGAACGTAGCCTCGTGGGTCCAGTTGTAGTGGATGTGTACGCTGTCCAGAGTAAACCAGTTCTGCCCTGCCGACTCGTAGAATGTGTTGGACATCTGTAGCCTGTTGGAACAGTGCATACATTGATTATACATTTACATTTTAGTCATTTAGCAGATGCTCTTATCAAGAGAGACTTACAGTTAGTGTACAGTACACAGAATATATAAATATCAAGTATCACAACCAAACTGTACCACACACAATATACTTCAGACCAACATGTGACCTGACCAGGAAAACCCTGGGCCAATCTATCATTTCTATAATGGTATTTCAAGCCTAAATTTGGCTGTAAAAATTAATGAAGAAGCAAACCTTATGGCAAGTCCTCTCAAGTCCTCCACATCTCCGAAACGTAGTACAAGCCTGGTGTGAAAACAAATTCAATAGCACTGTCATTACTTCATCTTTCAAAATATCAGGAGAGCGAAGAATAGTCATGTATCTTGAAGTGCAGCAGGAATATCTACAGCCGCTAAGCAGACTTACGTAGCTTTGTCTTTGCTGCACATAGAGCCTTTGGTGTCAACCGGTGCATCAGGGCCGAATGCCTTCTCTGTGAGATCCACTAAGGTGCTGTTCCTGAACCTGATAGCAAGCTTCCTGGCCCTAAACAGTATACATGTTTTTCCATTGTAAACCACGCTCAGAGGAGAGTAAGGAAGAGTGCTCGATGTCTGCAGTAGCCTCCGTTTGGTTCTGTGTGGGGAGTCCAGCTGCCACCCATAAGGCAGGCATAAGGTAGGAACGAGAGGATGAAACAGAATGGGTTGAAAGAGGGAGAGAGAGAAAAGAAGAGAAGGAGAAGGGGAGAGAGAAATAGATAAGTTGGTGGCTCATTGATTGACAACCAACAGTAATCTGAAGTACTATTACGGATTGATTTTCATCTCATTGTGAGGGCTGCAGTGGGCATTCATTGACCAATAAGACATTGTGTAAGGGTGCTGTTGTTAGGAATAATTTAATCTGTTTATACATTTCTTTGTTGACAATATACAGTGGCTTGCGAAAGTATTCACCCCCCTTGGCATTTTTCCTATTTTGGTGCCTTACAACCTGGAATTAAAATTGATTTTTGGGGGGGTTTGTATCATTTGATTTACATAACATGCTTACCACTTTGAAGATGCAAAATATACTTTTTTGTGAAACAAACAATAAATATATTTTTTTTAAAGAACACTTGAGCGTGCATAACTATTCCCCCCCCCCCCCCCCCCCCCCCCCCAAAGTCAATATTTTGTATAGTCACCTTTTGCAGCAATTACAGCTGCAAGTCTTTGTGGGCCTCCTGAGTGGCGCAGTGGTCTAAGGCACTGCATCACAGTGCTAACTGTGCCACTAGAGATCCTGGTTCGAATCCAGGCTCTGTCGCAGCCGGCCGCGACCGGGAGACTCATGGGCGGCGCACAATTGGCCCAGGGTAGGGGAGGGAATGGCCGGCAGGGATGTAGCTCAGTTGATAGAGCATGGCGTTTGCAACGCCAGGGTTGTGGGTTCAATTCCCACGGGGGGCCAGTATAAAAAAATATGTATTCACTGTAAGTCGCTCTGGATAAGAGCGTCTGCTAAATGACATAAATGTTTTGGGGTATGTCTATATAAGCTTGGCACACCAAGCCACTGGGATTTTTGCCCATTCTTCAAGACAAAACTGCTCCAGCTCCTTCAAGTTGAATGGGTTCCGCTAGTGTACAGCAATCTTTAAGTCATACCACAGATTATCAATTGGATTGAGGTCTGGCTTTGACTAGGCCATTCCAAGACATTTAAATGTTTCCCCTTAAACCACTCGAGTGTTGCTTTAGCAGTATGCTTATGGTCATTGTTCTGCTGGAAGGTGAACCCCCGTCCCAGTCTCAAATCTCTGGAAGACTGAAACAGGTTTCCCTCAAGAATTTCCCTGTATTTAGCGCCATTCATCATTCCTTCAATTCTGACCAGTTTCCCAGTCCCTGCCGATGAAAAACATCCCCACAGCATGATGCTGCCACCACCATGCTTCACTGTGGGGATGGTGTTCTCGGGGTGATGAGAGGTGTTGGGTTTGTGCCAGACATAGTGTTTTCCTTGATGGCCAAAAAGCTACGTTTTAGTCTCATCTGACCAGAGTACCTTCTTCCATATGTTTGGGGAGTCTCCCACATGCCTTTTGGCGAACACCAAACGTGTTTGCTTATTTTTTTCTTTAAGTAATGGCTTTTTTCTGGCCACTCTTTCGTAAAGCCCAGCTCTGTGGAGTGTACGGCTTAAAGTGGTCCTATGGACAGATACTCCAATCTCCGCTGTGGAGCTTTCAGCTCCTTCAGGGTTATCTTTGGTCTCTTTGTTGCCTCTCCTTGCCTGGTCCATGAATTTTGGTGGGCGGCCCTCTCTTGGCAGGTTTGTTGTGATGCCATATTCTTTCAATTTTTTTATGGATTTAATGGTGCTCTGTGGGATGTTCAAAGTTTCAGATATTTTTTTATAACCCCCGTGTAGCTCAGTTGGTAGAGCATGGCGCTTGCAACACCAGGGTTGTGGGTTTGATTCCCACGGGGTGGCGGTATGAGAAAAAATTAATGTATGCACTAACTGTAAGGTCGCTCTGGATAAGACTAAATGACGTAAATGTAAATAAACCAATCCTGATCTGTACTTCTCCACAACTTTGTCCCTGACCTGTTTGGAGAGCTCCTTGGTCTTCATGGTGCCGCTTGCTTGGTGGTGTTGCAGACTCTGGGGCCTTTCAGAACAGGTGTATATATACTGGGATCATGTGACAGATCATGTGACACTTTGATTGCACACAGGTGGACTTTATTTAACTAATTATGTGACTTCTGAAGGTAATTGGTTGCACCAGATCTTATTTAGGGGCTTCATAGCAAAGGGGGTGAATACATATTTATGCACCACTTGTAGATTTTTTTAAAAGAAGTTATTTTTTTCATTTCACTTCACCAATTTGGACTATTTTATGTATGTCCATTACATGAAATCCAAATAAAAATCAATTTAAATTACAGGTTGTAATGCAACAACATAGGAAAAACGCCAAAGGGGATGAATACTTTTGCAAGGCACTGTATGTAATGGTTTACCTCACTGAGACTATGCCTTCTGTCTGGGATTAATATCAGATGGCTGAGAATAAAACCTATTCTCATGGACAAGGTCATATTGGATTCCTAGAAACTTCCGTCTAGTGTCTCGTCACGCACACAGTAGTCTACAGTGAGTATACATTTACATTTACATTTACGTCATTTAGCAGACGCTCTTATCCAGAGCGACTTACAAACCAAACATTAGGAACACCTTCCTAATGTCTTGCCATTTACAATCTGAATGGCACATATACACAATCCATGTCTCAATTGTATCAAGGTTTAGAAATCCTTCTTTAACCTGACTCCTCCCCTTCATCTACACTGATTGAAGTGGATTTAACAAGTGACATCAATAAAGGATCATAGCTTTCACCTGGATTCACCTGGTCAGTCTACGCCATGGAAAGAGCAGGTGTTCATAATGTTTTGAACACTCAGTGTTTTTCTCCTTTCTGCTGAACTGTGCACTCGTTCACTATACTTTCCGTAAATCTAAAAGCATTGGATTGATGGAGGCATGGGTTAGTGGGAGTTTCCACCATATTTCTTCTACCAGTCATTTTCTTTCAAGTCAGTGAAGTGAAGTGAACAAGTGCACACTTTGAGTGTAAGGAAAGATAATTGGGACGTAGTACCTGCAGCACTCTTCTGAGAGGGTAAGAACTCTCCCCATCGGAAGCAGCACAGTGGCTCTGTGAAGCCATTCCATCTGTATACAAGGAGAGAAAGATAAATATAATTAAATAAAACATATTTACAACTTATAAAGCAATTGTCAAATTACTATGTATTAACAATATTAATACGACGTTGTTACGGGAGTTATTACAGTGTTACTACTACACAGGTACACGAGCAACATAAAGTGAAGTGTTACCAGTGAAGTTCGTGTATTTTTCTATACACATATATAAAAAAATAATAATAATAACATAATCATTTGACAATAAGGGAAATAACTCACTGTTTTGAACCCTGACATCTTGGGAGGTGGGCCCCCCTAAACTGTAAATATAAGACAATATATTATTATTTCAGATGGTAGCCTGTAAGGTACTGGCTACAGGGCATCAACGTAAATCTCTCTTATATGATTACTAGGACAGGAGATATAGGCATGGGCACAACTTTCACTGGGCCGGGGGGGACATGTCCACCCCACATTCTGAAATTGCAATTTTGTCCCCCCAAGTTTTATCATTGGAATGTGATACAAAACGAGTCAATGGTGTGCTTTAGGACCATGCGGACGCCTCCGAGCGGTCGGGTAGGCTGTTTGGAGTGTTTATCCGGCTGGATTTTAAAACAAATAAAAAAGTTATGTCCCCCCCACTTCTAAAATCAAAGTTGCGCCCCTGGATACAGGAATAATGGTAGGATAAATATCAGGCATATACCATATACAATCAAATATATTTCAACCATTGGGTTTGATACAGTTTATTATATATATAAATAAGAATACTGGAACTATAGGTTGGCCAAGCGGACATTGTGTGATGGTACCTACATGGAAAACAGAAGGTATAATAGTATTTTAGAAATTTGGACGTGACTAAAAAAGAGACAACACTTTCCCTAATAATTTATTTGGCCTAGTTTGCTCTTATTGTGTTTTCCTCAACAGTGCAAGAGATTATCCTGCGACTAACTGTTTAAGCATCTAATCACTGCCATAATGTCAGATTAAATGAGCTTTGGGGAAATGCTAAAACCTGATTAAGGCTCTGCTCGATTAATCCTCCCAGACCATGGTGTCCTTACTGAGACTTAAGGGGGCTAGCAGCCAGACCATGGTATCCTTATTATGGCTCAAGGGGGTTAGCGGAGCTAGCAGACTGTCTGCCCACCAGATCTGAGGAGGCTACCAAGGACTGGCAGGCAGCAGGGTTGGGGTCCTCAGGCAGTAAACTGAAATTCCAATTCCAATCTTCTTCATTGCTTTTCAATGAGGTAAATTGGAATTTCAGTTAAGTTCCTGAATTGAAATGGAATTGACCCCAACCCTGACTGGCAGACATTAGCTGTGTCTCTGTACTTTAAGATAAATGCAAATTTCAGTAATTTCATGTGCAAAGCACTTTTTCTACAGCTTTCGTCTTCGGGTGTCCAGTAGATTTCTCCATTGGCGCACTACTGGTCTATCAGAGCAGTGGGTGGTGAGCATCTATAGTCATCCACTGTGCTTATATTCTGCATGAATCAGAATACCTTATCTGATTTGTTTATTATTAAAAGCATGAGGGCAACATTTGGCTTGACCCTGTAGTAAGGCACTGTGTTACTGCATTGTTTGTGGTGATTTGTTTAATACTATTACAGACAGTCATATACTACTGTTAAATACTATATTATTGTCTTTAACAGGAATAGATAATATACAGTGTACCTCAGTGTAAAAGTGTAATTATCTGACATTTGTTATTGACATCCCATCTGTGGGTGTATCTGCGTTGGCCTGGCTCAGTGATGTAACAAGATATTTGGGAGTTGACGAGGAGTGAGTGCTCTGTGTTCTTGCTCGCCAGCAGATGCCATTCTTACATAATAAAAAGTGACAAAACACTGAGTAATAATTTATCTGAACACAAGTGTCAACCTGAATTTGCTACACAGACCCACATGGCCTCACCAAAATCACTGACCCAAGCAAAAATGTAGCTTTCATTCAAATGACTGAACCAATTGTCATGATCTAGAGTAGATAGAGAAATCCTCCTATCCCCACCCCACCCTAGCAGCAGCTTACAAATCCACTCTGTACTCTACCCCGCTGCCATTACTGACTGGCTGCACCTGAGCATGTTATGGACCAGCCATTATATAATCAATATGATCCGTTGTCGTTGATCATCTCTCTCTCTCACTTTACAATGCCTGGCATGTCATGTATTCTGTGAGGGTAAGAGGAAATATTGCGGTGGACGCGCTGCTTTTCAACTGCCCCATGTGCTCAGCTCAGCACGCTCATGCCTAGCTAAATCAAATCTGCTTTAAGACTAAAGCCCGTGCTGCCCTACATGTTGCCACAAAGTCCCATCTGTGCAGGCGCGACTGCAGACGGGCTAAATAGCCTAATGCCCTTGAGGCAATATGTTGCCAATTACACATTCGTTTTTTTTAATTAAGTCAGATATTCCCTAACAGATGAGCACAAAGCACATATGTTTTACAGGTGCTGGGACACAGGGCGGAGAATAATTACTTTGGTAAACAAGGAGGGAAACAAATCTCTGTATTTTTCAGTTAAAGATACAAAATGTTAAGTAGTATTGTCCATGTTTAGTTTTTGCCTAAATGCACAAAATACACCTTGACAAGTGAAATGAGCCTGAAATTGTTTCATTGATTATATTTCTTCATTATTGCAATTGGAATGATCCTCACCTCCTGGATCATCAGGTGACTTTGTTTACTGTATTCTATATATTCATCTCCTGATTTAATCACAAAATCACACTGCTCTCCTACAGAAAGCATCAGAAGCCCCTGCTGTCTATTCAGGACAGGTTGACAGGAGGTTGTAGCCTAGGCAGCTGAATTGAAATATCAATAAGAATGTGATGTGGAAAAAATCTAGGCAGTACATGCCCACAATACTGCCGGAAATATGAGCTTTAACTTATAACATTTGATCTTATATTTAGATATAAAGCCCCTGTGCTGCCGATTCAGGACAGGTTGACAGGAGGCTGTTGTAGCCTAGGCAGCAGCTGAGGTAATTGTCAGGGTCATGAAGACATGCCACATGTCAAAACAATATGATTAATAAGTCAGCAGGGGTCAGAAGGTGGGGATTCAAGGCACCAAGCATCTACTGCGCAATCTGACATCTCATCTTTCAGTCCAAATATGTTGGCTCCAGGCTCCCTACTGTATTCATTAAAGTTATATAAAACACAATTAATGGGATATTATATCCATGTTCCTGAAATAACATGAACTGCAATAACATTGTCGATCAAAATAACCAAAATCAATGAACTGATGTCCAATGGAACACTACAAACAAATAAATGAAGTAACTATAACAAATCTGTAGCCTTTTCATCATAGTTAACATATTTGATTTTATATATTCAACTGTAAAACTCATGAAAAGAGCTGTTACCGAAATGACAAAATTATAGTTTTTTTATATTAGTTTTTACAATTTGATTACTAGATTGACAGCAGTGCAAGAGTTGAATAGAATATACATACTCAATCTAGCATATATGGATCTGTACTCAAATAGTGTAATTCTCAGAGGAAGGATGGATCTGCGATATACAGCATGTGAGCATACAGTATACGACTCCATCTCATCTCTGATGTAACAGCTTTCATTCCTGCCTATTTTTGTAGTGCATATATGGATTTGCCCTGTAAACTGATGCCTTCAGCGCAACATCAATGGATTTTCTCTTGTGTTTCACTGACAGATTCCTAGTACATTTTCATTGCAGACGTGCACACTACAGTATAGTACAATACAGTGCAGCACACAAGGTAAGATCGAAATCACTACCACAATGGTTACAGATAATAAGAGATAATGCTTTTACAGATTCACAAACGCATTTTAAAACTGTCTGTTTCCCCTCATTCCCACGGTCTCCATCACACTATGAAAGAACCTCATTCCCCCCTCCACCCCCATGCCTGACTCCAGCCTAGAGTTGAAATATCTCCTTTCATGCCTACCTTTTCTCCACAACAGCAGGCACTTGATCAGAAGACAAAGAGAGCTGCAGAAAAATGACAGAAAATAAATAAAAATACATAAAGAGGTCTTGTTTTGCCATGGAGCCGGCCAGATGAGACTACCACAGATGATGACTGCTTCCTAATCTGCTTCGAAAACAGCCGAAGCCTAAGCCTACTGATTGACAAGGGCAGCAGCCAATAGGAATCTAGAGGGAGTGGTAATTATGTGTCACGGTCACACCCACTCTCAGAACACACACACAAAGCCCAGCAGCTGTCCTCAAGAAAACTGATTCATAAATACACTGTTAATCATTTAGAATGTTCAAGGTCAGTACGCTTGCCGTTTTTTTTCCGACAGTGAACGCGCCCCCTTGATTAAATGACCTAGATACCAGGCTGTCTCTATTGGAATTAATTTAAAGTATAAACCAGGGTTATCTGAAGAAGAAGAAAAAAGCTCTGCATGAGAATAAGATTATGGGTTAATGAAGCAGTATGAAAATTAAATATGACGAAAGACACGTTAAATCAATAGAATTACATCCTCATCACTGGGATACAGTTCACACTGGATGGATCTGTTCTCTTTCCTAGACTGGCCTACCCTTCTGTCTGTACATCTGTACATCAGTAACCTATGAATGATGTGATTGTACATAAACTGAAATAAAAGATCCCAGAAATGTTCCATATGCACAAAAAGCATATTTCTCTCAAATGTTGTTCACAAATTTGTTTACATCCCTGTTTGTGAGCATTTCTCCTTTGCCAAGATAATCCATCCACCTGACAGGTCTGGCATATCAAGAAGCTGATTAAACAGCATGGTCATTACACTGGTGCACCTTGTGCTGGGGACAATAAAAGGCCACTCTATAATGTAACGGTTTGTCACACAACACAATGCCAGAGATGTCTCAAGTTTTGAGGGAGCGTGAAATTGGCATGCTGACTGCAGGAATGTCCACCAGAGCTGTTGCTAGAGAATTGAATGTTTACATTTACGTCATTTAGCAGACGCTCTTATCCAGAGCAACTTACATTATTATTTTTCATACCCCCTGTGGGAATTGAACCCACAACCCTGGTGTTGCAAACACCATGCTCTATCAACTGAGCTACATCCCTGCCGGCCATTCCCTCCCCTACCCTGGATGATGCTGGGCCAATTGAGCGCCGCCCCATGGGTCTCCCGGTCACGGCCAGCTACGACAGAGCCTGGATTCGAACCAGGATCTCAAGTGGCACAGCTAGCACTGCGATGCAGTGCCTTAGACCACTGCGCCACTCAGGAGACTCAGGAGAATGTTCTCTACCAATGTCGTTTTAGAGAATTTCACAGTATGTCCAACCGGCCTCACAACCGCAGACCACGTGAGACCAGCCACCTGTCTGAGACCAGCCACCCGGACAACTGATGAAACTGATTAGTATTTCTGTCTGTAATAAAGCCCTTTTGTGGTGAAAATGTCATTCTGATTGGCTGGGCCTGACTTCCCTGTGGGTGGGCCCCTACCCCTACCCAGTAATGTGAAATCCATAGATTAGGGCCTAATTTATTTATTTCAATTGACTGATTTCCTTATATGAACTGTAACTCAGTACAATCATTAAAATTGTTGCATGTTGCGTTTATATTTTTGTTCAATGTAATAGCAAACAGTCATGACAATCGTTTGAAAAACATTAAGGGGTGGTGGCAGCTATCAGTTGTTGTCACAATAAAATAAGTTATGGGGGGTTGAAATATAGTGTCTGCTGCTGTTTACCTAAAATAATGTACCTCCCATTAGGTTTCCTGACATCAAGCCTATGACACCTTGAATGATATAGCTCTGTCGTTTTTTTAATTAGACCACTGATAAAGCAAGACGGCTTTTATTGCACTTTAGAGCTTGTCTTATCAAATGAGTCTAGTAATGGATGGCCCCGTAGACTAGGACAGGCATGAGCCACTGCCATCTAGGCTACTGCTAAAAACACTGTCATTTTTAAAAACCTCTCATTTACTTCCCCAGTGGTGAAGCACATGTTGCTAGTTGCAGTAGAGGCTAATATTATGATAATCTGTGGTAGAGGTTTGGGATTTGGCCCTTTCACACAATCATCTTGTATCAAATAGAGTCAAAGATTGTTTAGACTTTTCCTCTCTGTTACAATCAGTAACATCTGAATTGACCCTATATTGCACTGACTATGCACACTAACAATACAACACTCACTCACACATGCTACATTGACACTCTCGCACAAGATCCCCACACACACATAATTATCATTTCATTACCACAGTGAATTATTGTAATGTTACAATTTTAAGGTTTTGAAAATCAGGTTAAAAGTAATGTCTTTACTATTTTGTTAATTTGGTATGCAAATAATTTTTCTAAAATTTACCTGTACTAGAAGGTTTATCAAAATGATCATTACTGTGCATGCAGGGTTCTTTCTCCCTTTATTGCAACTTTTTCAATGTTTCAACAGTGACAAATGTAGTGGGATGGTAAGGAATTCAGGTAAATAATACTTCCAATATGCAATACAAATAAAGTGTGTGAGTAGTATGTCTACCTGTTGGAAGACCTGTGTGTTGAAATTTTGGGGAAAATAAGACACAAACGTGCATTCTTTTCCAACCCCCAATTTGCACAACATTTCTTTGGTTTGATTTTAAGAATGTCTCTTCAGACGGTTCGTGCTATCCGGGATCCTTAGGACATCCCTACCCTAAACCCTAACCTTAACCCCTACCCTAACCCAGTGTTTCCCAAACTAATCGAACCCTCTCTACCCCTTCCCCTCCCCTCTTTTGTCTCCTCACCACTCCCCTCCTCCCTTCCTTTCCACTTCCTTCAATGTTTTATCTCCTTTCTCTTCTCCTGAAAAAGCAAAAAAATAGTGTCTGTGGATGGATATGTTAGACCTACCCCCTATGCACTTGTGGAGATGTTTGGATAGGCCTAAGTATTATGATAATGGCTGATACAACCCTAACCCTTGTTTGATTGTGTGTAGGCCCAGATTTGTTTTGATTTGCTGTGTTTAGTGTGGTGTTTTGTATGTTAGGATGTGGTATGTATATTTAGAGTGTGTGTGTGTGTGTGTGTGTGTGTGTGTGTGTGTGTGTGTGTGTGTGTGTGTGTGTGTGTGTGTGTGTGTGTGTGTGTGTGTGTGTGTGTGATCTTGTTTCCAGCATCTGGGTTCTTGTAATTTTCTCCTCGGCCTAACGTTCTGTTAGAGACAAACCACACCACAAACACAATAGGATTTTCAGAAAGAGTTTTCTTTGTCAGGGGCCATGTTGTAGAATGGAAATGTTAAATGTCCCGTAGATAATCATAGATAAAGAGTTACCTGTCTAACAGAACACAGAGGGTGTTCTTTAATGGAAGCCTCTTCAACATAATCCAGGTATAATCAGGAATTCCCCAGGGCAGCTGACTACATGGAACTCTATTCCACATCAAGTAACTCATGCAAGCAGTTAAATTAGATTTTTAAAAAACAGATAAAAATACACCTTATGGAACAGAGGGGACTGTGAAGAGACACAAACACAAACACAGGCACATGCATACACACACGTACACATGGATTTTGTGTTGTAGATATGTGGTGGTGGAGTAGTGGCCTGAGTGCACACACTTAATCCAGGCTCTGTCGTGGCTGGCCGCGACCGGGAGACCCATGGGGTGGCGCACAATTGGCCCAGCGTCGTCCAGGGTAGGGGAGGGAATGGCCGGCAGGGATGTAGCTCAGTTGGTAGAGCATGGCGTTTGCAACGCCAGGGTTGTGGGTTCGATTCCCATGGGGGGCCAGTATTAAAAATAAAATAATGTATGCACTCACTAACTGTAAGTCGCTCTGGATAAGAGCGTCTGCTAAATGACGTAAAATGTAAATGTAAAAATGTGTTGTGAAATCTGTTGTGAATGTATTGTAATGTAAAATTGTATAACTGCCTTAATTTTGCTGGACCCCAGGAAGAGTAGCTGCTGCCAGCTAATGGGGATCCATAATAAATACAAATACAAAATACAAATACAAAACAATCTTTATTTTGATAGTATTCTGGAGTAATCTCATTGTCTACAGTTGGGCTGGTTTCCCGGACTCAGATTACACTTAGTCCTGGACAAAAAAGCATGCTCAATATAAAATAGTTTATTTGTCCAGGACTAGGCTTAAGACAGGAGAGGACAGAAGAGGAGAGGAAGAGGGTGAGATGGAATATACAGTATTTAGCGTAGGTGCAAGCATGCTAGGGTGTGCGTGAGCTGAGGGGGCGGGGGGTCCTCAGCCGCAGTCCAGGCTCAGCAGCACATCCAGGTAGGCTTGGGCCAGCCACGTCGTAGAAAAGGACAAAAGAAGGGGGTTAGTGGGAGCATGCAGATAAAACAGATCAAACCCAGTACACCAGATGAGACAAGCTGACCATGGCCCCATGGCAAATAAACACTACTGCAGTATAAACACTGGAGAATGGGACAGGGGGATCGAAACGCCACCCCTGAGTGCAACAAGCCAGGGACTCAGCCCCCGTAATCGAGTCAGTGGTATGGAATCCCAGTTGAGAGTGGGGAAGATGGTTTATCAATCCAGTATCTTGAGACCTGATGCATCTCTGCTTGGCTCTCAGCATTAAGGAATTAGGGAACTAAAAGTCCTGTCCATTTTCAGACTCTTTTGACTGCACTTTAAGCCAGGCATTTAAAACACCACCTCGTTATTATACATACTTAATCAAACATAGCTATTCATATAGTATACATGTGCTATTGCCTTAAATTGTGTCTTTTAAAACCGGTTGCTTAAAATTGATCTATATTTAAATTGCATTTTAAGAAAGACCTAACCCAAACAGGCACTTTATTAGTCACCTCTGGGGTCCTGAGAAGAGACATTGCCGCGGAGGAGTCTGGGATTCTTCCTTTCTAGCCTGGGCTCGTAATCTGCAAACATGGGTACGATCATTTCCCCTTTATAACGGAACGATTACAAGATATAGTCATATTACTTACATTGACATGGAATAAGAATGTCCTCTTACCTACTTTCAGTATAATCGTGGCAAAACGGGCTGTATTTCTAGGCATATTTTTACAATTTGACGGCCAACTAGCGCAAGTTTCGCAACGTGGAGAGGGCCAGTAGCATGGCATGGGGTTCGGCAAGCGCTGCCCCGATCTGCCTCACGTTTCAGTCACCAAGCATTTACGAAGCCTGTTGGCTAGTTACCGAATTTTGATTACAAATTGATAGAAAAATAAGTTTTTAGCAGCGAACTGCATTAATTTGGCTAACTAGCTCAAATATTTGGCAATGAACTAGCTAAATCGTTAGCGGCTAGCTTGTCAGCACTTGATGCATTTACGTTATGCATATGCGGTCAGCTACTGTAGCTAGTTTGCTATTTTAACTAACGTTAGCCAGGTTCTCTAAGTAGACTGCATTTGTAGGTATGTGGTGACCTATGTTTTGTTTGTCGACCTAGTTATTGGCATGATTTTAAGTTTACCGTTCTATTTCCCCAGGAAAGTGTCGCGGTCTGCGTACAGCCAGGAAGCTGCGTAACCATCGTCGTGAGCAGAGATGGCATGATAAACAGTATAAGAAGGCCCATCTCGGCACTGCCCTGAAGGCTAACCCCTTCGGAGGCGCTTCCCACGCCAAGGGAATCGTACTTGAGAAAGTGTAAGTAGCTAGCTAACGTTACATCACAACACCACTGTGTGTTCACTGATGACCATGCAAGCTTTAATCCAGTAAAAAGCTATGTGAATGCTGTACGATCAACTATGTACAGTGCACTGAATGTCATCTTTCATATGTCAGTCTGAAGTGTCAAACCCCTCTTCCCGATTCTTCTTACAGAGGTGTTGAAGCTAAGCAGCCCAACTCTGCCATTAGGAAGTGTGTCAGGGTTCAACTCATCAAGAACGGCAAGAAGATCACTGCCTTCGTCCCAAATGATGGTTGCTTGAATTTCATTGAGGTAAGAGTCAAAGCCAACATTGCATCCATCTTACCAAAGTACAGTGTACCGGTAACTGTGGACGGCAGGTAGCTTAGTGGGTAAGAGCGTTGTGCCAGTAACCGAAAGGTCGCTGGTTCTAATCCCCTAGCCGACTAGGTGAAAAATCTGTCAATGTGCCCTTAAGCAAGGCACTTAACCCTAATTGCTCCTGTAAGTCGCTCTGGATAAGAGCGTCTGCTAAATGACTAAAATGTAATGTAAATGTATTTGTAGGATGTTGTGGATTGCCTTAAATTCAGAACAAGCAGAGATTGATCAATACCTAGAACATTAGCTAACTTGCCAGATATTTTAGGATCTGACAGACAGTTGGGTAGCCATATAAACCAATATCTTACACTCAGCCAGATATCCACTACAATGACAAATGTAGGACTCCCCATAAGTAATCTAACAATATGCAGGTAGTGATGTGTTCAGGGACAATATTTTTGATATTCAAAGTTGACCGATGCATGTTGGCCTGTGTATTTAGTTTGTTTCCCTTGCTCTTTCAGGAAAACGACGAGGTTCTGGTGGCAGGATTTGGTCGTAAGGGACATGCCGTCGGTGATATCCCCGGTGTCCGTTTCAAGGTGGTCAAAGTGGCTAACGTCTCCCTGCTGGCCCTTTACAAAGGCAAGAAGGAGAGACCCAGATCTTAAACAGTTCTGACTGATATCAATAAATTACGTTTTCACAATTCCAGTTGGTTTGTTGTGCATTTTGTGATTTTTATATTGTAGTTGCAGGGGTGGGTAACTCTGATTCTAAGGTGTGTATGTATGGTGGTTTCTGCTTTAGACCTGGGATACCACTTGTACACTTGAATGAACTGGTTGTGACACTCCCCAGAGGACTAAAGTTGCCCATCCTTGTTCCAGTTTTGTTTGAGCAGCTTCTCTGATTCACTTGTATATGTCCAAGTTGATTGATAGCATGTTTCATTTGAAGAACAACTAGCTAATGGTTTTAGAAGGTTGTTAGAAAGCATTTCTTTCAGCTCTGTGTATCACGTTGGATAATGCCAGATCTGCCTGTAATGGCAGATTGCTGCTTGTGGGTTCAGGCAGTTGCTTCTACACTCATGCTCCATTTGCAGTTTTATTTATAGCTTGTCTGGAGGGATTGTAATGGTTTGACATTGTTTGGTGTCTTGATTGTTCATAGAGCAGATGCAGTTGATCGTCAAGTTTTATTTCCCTCACTGCCTCTTGAGGTGATGTGTCATGTACCCCTTAGCTAATTTGATGTGCAGTCTCATTTTGATTCATGCTGTGCAGTCGTCTGGAATTCAGGCATGGCTGCCACAGACGGTTGACAATGTACCTATTGTGCGTTTGTGTGAAGAGCCAGATGCCTTTTTGATTTTGCTCAACCGTGACTTATATCCCCTTCCGCACAAACTTGCCAGGTCCTAATTTAGCCACACCTGTCTACATTTACATTTTAGTCATTTAGCAGACGCTCTTATCCAGAGCGTCTTACAGTTAGTGAGTGCATACATTTTTCATACTGGCCCCCCGTGGGAATCGAACCCACAACCCTGGGGTTGCAAGCGCCATGCTCTACCAACTGAGCTACAGGAGGCCATTTTATTATAATTTCTAGCCAGGATAAAAGCCTTCCATCAACAGATTGTGATCCTCATTTTGTTGTGGTGAAGTGCTGTAGCAAATAAGATTTTCAAGGTGGGAGCGTATTGCATTGGGTGGAACCTTTCACTTTGAGGTTTGTGGAGCTCATAGGACCAGACAATTGAATATGGTAAAGGGATCTTAGGACATTTTACACAATCATACAAATCCCATCTGCTCCTGCATGTAACAACCTCTTTCCTTTCATCCCAATTATTCATAAGATTACATTTTGATGTGTGATGCCATGAATAGTCTGGACATTATACATTAAGGAGACATGCAGTGTTATCCTGAATGACAAATTAATTTGTATTGGGGTGGAAGAGGATTTGCAGCGGATTATGAAAGTGACATGGTTGGGAAAATTGACAGGGTATGGACAGTTTGAATCAAATGGATCACTCAGACCAGTGGTCTGCTGCTAGAATGACAAGTGAAGAAATGCTGTCAGTTCTTTTAGTACTTGGCTACAGACAACGACCATGCTGTCAGATGAATTTGATCTGTCATGACAATTCGTACTGTACGTTTTAGACTGATGACTGTTCTGAGATTGCCACCTAATGGAGTTAGTGCCAGATACATGGATTCCCTCAACTCAAACTAGTTTGGCATGAATGTCTGCTCTGCTCTCAGTGGTTAAACCAAGTAACATTGAATTATGGACAAAAACTGATACACTTAACACATTTCAATACTCAGAAATATCTATTTTGAAATAAGTGATTGTCATATTTTGTGTCATTCAAGAGCAACTTGGCTGCTGTACATCCACTTAGCCTATACTTCTTGTAAGGTTATCAGGTTCAATGAGACAGGCCATGGTTGCTGCCTCGAGTGATCTCACGGTTCTCCTTCACAGCCTTCCTTCAGAGGAGGCAGCGAGGATGATATTGAATTGAATCACTTCAGAGGAGGTGTCTGGTGAGTGTTGAGAGATGGGTGATAGTGACAGGAATCCAGCAGCCACAGCCTGTGCAGGGCAGCAACCCATCCATCCTCTCCACAGGCCACAGCATTGTGACCTAAAGACAACTGGAGTGTCACAGAGAAACAGTTGATGATAGTAACACTCCCTGTGATGCTGTGGTTGAGTAATGATGGACAGACACTTCTCATTACACTGGACATGTTCACATAAGGGTGGTGATTCAATGGTCTTATTTACAACAATGCACAGAGAATACACTGAGAAGGTTTTGCATGCATTATTTCCACTTTCAAAACTGTAAACAGTTCACTTGTGAATCTAAAAGGAATGTTCATGCGCTTTCTCATTCACTTTCTCCAGCCTATGATCCTTTTAGCATGAATTCAGTCATAAAGGTGCATCTGTTTGTGTCTGTCAGTTGCAACATGGTAACATGCAGGAGCAGGGAAAGTGTGTCAGTGAGTGTCGTTCAGTGTGCCAGAGGTAAAGAGTAACCCTGGTTGCTGGTTCATCTCTTGATCAGGGCTCGGTTTCCCAAAAGCGTCGTAAGGTTAAGTTCATCGTTAGAACCTTCGTAGGAGCACCGTTAAATCTCAGAGCTTTTCCCCAAAACCATCGTTATTAACGTCGCAGTTGAAATCGCTCGTAATTTAACTCCTGTATGGAACGATTTCAGTGCCATTTTATGTTTAGTTTGTATATTCGGATATTGAATTTAATATTTGTGAATGTTTAATGCACAAATTGAATCATTTAATTCATACATTTAATTTGTATTTCATGATTTGAAACTGAATTGAATGAATATTGCTTTCAGTTTAACATTTATATTTAATTGAATATTCTTTCATTATTTATATATTCCGTTTCAATATGGTAGATATTGCATTCATTGTTTGTGTAACAATTTACAAAACCTTCATTTCAGAGTTTCATATATTTAAACTTCTCAGATGCATTCAAATTCAGTTCTCTAAATTCAGATTCAAAACCAGAGGCAACATCCTGGCACTTTTCCAGACAGGAAAGGTAGAGGAGAACAGATAGAATCGAATGCTCTCTGTGGTAAACAGAAGCTTCTGGCAGTTCTGAAGACAATGTGGCATGTTTAATTTATTTTCTTCCTATGAATTTGGCTCTAGCGTTTGAACCACTTTGGCTATAAGCTATTGACCCCATTCCTGAAAGTGAATATACTCTGGACCATGGCCGTGCCTTCTGTTGTATGATTATCACAGGCTGCATTAGGAGGTGTCCCAAAATTTGGCCCCCATAAGAATATATACTGAACAAAAATATAAACACAACATGCAACAATTTCAAAGATTTTACTGAGTTACAGTTCAAATAAGAAAATCAGTCAATTGAAATAAACAAATAATAAATACAGGAACCGCCAAAAGTTTGTTTACCACAGTGAGCGTTTGATTCTATCTGTTCTCCTATTTTCCTGGCTGGCAGGCAAAGGATGTTGACTCTGGTTTTGAATCTGAATTTAGAAAACTGAATTTGAATGCATCTGAAAGTTGAATATATCCAACATTGATGAACTTGAAATGATGGTTTGTAAACTTGATACACAGACAATGAATGCAATATATAAATATTGAACTTGAATATTCAATTAAATGGATAATTCATTTAAAAACTGAATGCAATATTCATTCAATTCAGTTTCAAATCATGAAATTACAAGTTCAATTTATGAATTCAATGATTCAATTTGTGCATTTCAAATTCAAAAATATAACATTCATATTCAAATACAAAATTATGGAATTCAAATACTATTTCTGTTGGCACTGAAATCGCTCCATACGCCTGCCTCAGATCACTCTTAGAACGGCTACAGTGGGGAAAAAAGTATTTAGTCAGCCACCAATTGTGCAAGTTCTCCCACTTAAAACGATGAGAGAGGCCTGTAATTTTCATCATAGGTACACGTCAACTATGACAGACAAAATGAGAAAAGAAAATCCAGAAAATCACATTGTAGGATTTTTTATGAATTTATTTGCAAATTATGGTGGAAAATATGTATTTGGTCAATAACAAAAGTTTCTCAATACTTTGTTATATACCCTTAGTTGGCAATGACACAGGTCAAACGTTTTCTGTAAGTCTTCACAAGGTTTTCACACACTGTTGCTGGTATTTTGGCCCATTCCTCCATGCAGATCTCCTCTAGAGCAGTGTTGTTTTGGGGCTGTCGCTGGGCAACACGGACTTTCAACTCCCTCCAAAGATTTTCTATGGGGTTGAGATCTGGAGACTGGCTAGGCCACTCCAGGACCTTGAAATGCTTCTTACAAAGCCACTCCTTCGTTGCCCAGGTGGTGTGTTTGGGATCATTGTCATGCTGAAAGACCCGGACACGTCTGGCACTGCAGGATTTGAGTCCCTGGCGGTGTAGTGTGTTACTGATGGTAGGCTTTGTTACTTTGGTCCCAGCTCTCTGCAGGTCATTCACTAGGTCCCCCCGTGTGGTTCTGGGATTTTTGCTCACCGTTCTTGTGATCATTTTGACCCCACGGGGTGAGATCTTGCGTGGAGCCCCAGATCGAGGGAGATTATCAGTGGTCTTGTATGTCTTCCATTTCCTAATAATTGCTCCCACAGTTGATTTCTTCAAACCAAGCTGCTTAACTATTGCAGATTCAGTCTTCCCAGCCTGGTGCAGGTCTACAATTTTGTTTCTGGTGTCCTTTGACAGCTCTTTGGTCTTGGCCATAGTGGAGTTTGGAGTGTGACTGTTTGAGGTTGTGGACAGGTGTCTTTTATACTGATAACAAGTACAAACAGGTGCCATTAATACAGGTAACGAGTGGAGGACAGAGGAGCCTCTTAATGAAGAAGTTACAGGTCTGTGAGAGCCAGAAATCTTGCTTGTTTGTAGGTGACCAAATACTTATTTTCCACCATAATTTGCAAATAAATTCATTAAAAATCCTACAATGTGATTTTCTGGATTTTTTTTCCTCAATTTGTCTGTCATAGTTGACGTGTACCTATGATGAAAATTACAGGCCTCTCTCATCTTTTTAAGTGGGAGAACTTGCACAATTGGTGGCTGACTAAATACTTTTTCCCCCCACTGTAAGTGTGCCATTAGATGTTTTTTTGCCCTCCCGCGTCAC